CTAGGATGATGCCGAGGTCATCGGCGCAGGCGCTGACAAGCCCGCGCTGGACCTCGCGGCTGAGGGCGACAATGATGGGGTCGAAGACGAGCGCCCAGATGGTGCCGCTCAGAGGGCAGCCTTGTGCGACGCCCGATGCTGCAATCCGCAGGGGGCGACGTTCTCCTCCCAAGTCAAGGAGCGAAACGGGCCAGAAGTAGCAGGCTTTGAGCAGGCGCAGCATGTGGCCGTGGATGCCCCAGCGCTTGATGACGCCCCACAGCCAATGATGGCCAAGGCTGGGGAATGCGGCTGCGATGTCCATGCTGACGAAATGGGGCATGTCAGTTGATGCAGTGGGGGATCGGCTGCGCCTGCGAGCAGCTGCGTCCACGGTGACTACATTGTTCAGGAACTGGCGGCCTGATACGACGCCCTGCTGCTCAGGCGAGGTCAGGGCGGCGAGGGGGTGAAGCTGTCGGTTGGCGGCGGACGCTAGCAACTTCACGTCGGTGTTCTTCATGGAGAGCGGCCGTCGGCACTCTGGGGCACGCGCGCCTTCTGCGTTACCCGTGGGCTCGTCACCTTTCGGCAACATGGCCATGAGAGAGAAGTTGAGGTCGTGCGGGATGTTATTGTTGGCGGCGATGTCGTGGCTGACGTCGGCCAGGATGTCGAAGCTGTCGGGGGTGCGAAGCCAGGCACGGTAAGGTAGTCCGTCTGGGCCTGGTGCAGAGTCACCTGCAAGGTGGGCAGCCTTCTTGAGATCCTGAGCGTCAGGGATGGGGAGATCAGCTCGTGGGCGTCGTGGGAAAATCGAGTCGAGGCAGTTTGTGAGCAGGGTTTCGTCAACATGCTTCTCGGCGAACACGGGGGCCCAGTGACGCATGATGGCCCGGTGCATGGTGGCGGGATCGGTGACGATGTTCGACGAGTTGCCGGTGATGATCTTGATGCCAGTAAGCACGATGCGCTTGGCGAAGGGCTTCCATAGTTCGCCTCGGTCGCCTTCTCGCTTGGCGCGCTGGCGCCACTTCTGGCCGAGTGGAACGTTGTTGGCTGCGAAGGCGGCGCGAGATCGAGCAGATGCGATGGCTTTGCGTTCGTTGCTGAGGCTGGCGTGCGTGATGTCTGCGGCCCTGGTGAACGTCGGCATGTCGTTTACGCTGACAGTGTTTCCGATGACCTTCAGGTGGAGACGTCCGATGTCGGTGTGCTCGATAAGCGAGTTAGCGAGCGGGACGTTCTGGTACCATATAGCCCGCGCGATGCTGCGGAGAGCCATGGCGCGGGTCTCCTTGGATACGAGTCCAGGCTGCGAAGTCAGCTCGTCAGCGGGGAGCTTGGTCAGCGTGTCGCGGGCGTGGGCGGCAGCGACCTGCATCGCGGCCTGGGGCGTGCGCCATTTTGCAATCGGGGTCATGTTGGTCATGTCTACGTTGGCAAGAATATTGGTGATGTGATGCTTATAGTGAGGAGTGTCAAAGATGTACGCGGGGATGCCTCGCTCCGTGGCGACCTTGGCCTTGCGGAGGCGGATGCGGACGTGCATAATCTGGCGGTCGCATATTGGGCCGGGGGGGTTCTCGAGCGGGGAGTCGTCGGCTATGTAAATGGTCTCCATGAGGGGCATGAGATGGCTGGGGAGGTTGATGAAGCATCGGTCGATGGTGGATTCGCTCATGTTCCCTTCAGCTCTGCGGGTAATTGAGGGCGATGTGATCTCGATCATGTCGCGGAAGAGTGATCGCCATAATGCAGGTTGGCATTGGTACCTCTGCGCGGCGGTGGCGTCAGAGTCGACGGGGGCATTAAGGGGCGATCTCGAAGAAAAAGTCGGTCTGCTGCGGCGAGGCCGTAAGTGTGAATGTCGAGGGCGGCGACTTCGAACTGGAGGCTGGCATCCGTGACCCGAAGCCAGGCGGCGCGGCCATGGATGACGACCTCAAACCTGATGCGAGGACGCGGCGCAGGGGGGGAGTATTTGTTCGCTTTTGTCGTGCGGGACGAGGAAGACCACGCCGCCTGCGTTGTTGACGGGGATGTTGTCGGCCATCACGGGGGGGTGGAACGGCTTGCGCGGGTGCTGGGTCGAGTTGGCCAGGAGGGAAAGGTCGTCGATCGTGCCGTGCGTTTCCTGGAAGGTGATTAGTGCTCTTTGACGAAGATCTGGCAGGATCAGGCGGCGTTTGTCTTCACGGCGTTGGTCTGATTGTCCGAGTAGAGCTTGCGTGTTCCAGAATGTCACGTTGAGGACCTCCTGCGGGGGCTTGGGGGGCCATGGGCTCCAGCCATGGCTAAAGCCACTGCGCGGATGTGAGGGCGCCTGCGAAGTTGGAGGCGAACTCTGCGTTGATCTGCCGCTGTTTGGCTTCGTCGAAGCCGCAAGTGATGGCGGCACTGGACCACTGGATGCGGGTAGGAGCGTCAGCGTTGGCTCCGACGAGCAGGCGGGCCAAAGCTTCACCACGGTGGCTAACGTAACCAAGAGTCCGATGAGTGCGAAGGTCAGAGTCAGGCA